ACGATTGACTATGAACGCGCCCTAGTCTGTCTTCCATCAGTTATAAGTAATCGTCGATGAAGCTATGAAATTCAGTGGACGCATCACCACGTCTTATCGCCTGTATTTGTGGTAGGAGTTATGGAGCGTTCATAGTTGGCGATCGTACGTGCGATTAGGCGATTAGGCGATTAGGCGATGATTCAAAATGAAAAGTATACGATCGATTAGGCGAGTAGGCGAGTAGGCGAAATCCGAGTGGGCGGGCGAGCAGGCCTAATCGCACACACGATCGCCAACTATGAACTCTCCAGCAGTCTTCATAATTTGAGTTGACTTTGCCACTGCTACCAAGACTAGATTGCTATCGACTTGTCGCGGGCCACGCGTCGCCAATAAATCGATATGCGATATGTGATCGCAAGTGTGCGGAACTTACAGTTTTTTCACACTGAGATAATGCCAACTGAAACATATCTAACCAGTCGAGTCCTGATAGACAATTCCACATATTCCACGCATTCCATGCGTTCCACGGTGCAAGTATGAACACTACCTTAGATTGTGGGGACGTTGACCCCGCGCACAATTCGTAGAAATAATTTGATACCGTCGCCTGCTCTGCTACGCTATGGTCGCGTCGCGACCGCGCGCTGCCTTCACGTACCGCCCCGCCTATCGTTGTAAAGAACACGTAAAAGAATAGGTCAGAGATCTTTATTCTATGATGCAATACTAACAAATAGTATTTGAACTCAAAAAATCGTTCAAATACTCGTGGATGAAAACAATCAATATTTTTATATAAGAAGTCTTTTCATTTTTTCTTTCTCTGCTCGCTTCTTCTTATAGAGAGCCCAGTTGTATTCGGCGCTCATGTAGGTCATTTCGAAGAAAAGAAAAACGAATTCGCAACATGTCAGAAACGAAATTCCACACCACAGGCCGAGTTGACCACCGAAATCGGCAAGGAGATTGACGAACTGAAACCAATCAATAATTTCGTTTCGATGTTATTGGTAAATAAAGAGGCTTTCTTTCTCAGTTTGTGGAGAAAAGTATTATTCTAATCGTAGTTCAACTCCCCTATCAAATGCACGTTCAAACTATTGATCAGTTCCCCTAGTTCCCCTATATTGATCCGCCTGAATTAATTACTGCAGTCAACCTTACTCCATAATCTTCGCATTCGGTGAGCATTTCTCATAGAAGACTTCCACCATAGCACCGTTTTCCCTGAAAAATACGAAGTGCGCCTCGAATCGAGAAAAAGCGATGTGTGACGTCCCGTGGGAAACTCCGCCCACCTCATGGACTAACTAACGCTTTGCTTACTTGTAGTGTTTGTTACATTCGGCGTTTGTTCCGTTACATGAGCCCAACTGAATTTGCAGTGAGAGGGATGGCCATTTTGCTGGCGAATAAGTCACCGAATAGATCGATTGTCTGCATGGCTGCTGGCATCTGTAAATTTTCCGTTGCCTGTCAGTAGACGGTTAAAGTTCCAACATTCGGCCAATTTGTCAAAGTTGCATCACGCTGTTGCCCAAGTGTGAGTTATCGCGTCAAAAAATGAACAGAATTGGTGAATGACCGAATTATAGTGAAGGTATCATGCAGAACTTAAAGACACATAGCACGCCGATCGTATGGGCGGGGTCACAGTCGTGTAGGCAGTTACTTGGGACAGTGCGGGTGAGTTCTCCCTCTTGGCGCCCACTAAATCTTGATTACCACATCTGATTGCGTGCATGCCTTCGATCTCATCAAGGTCAGTGAGATTTCAAAAATAATGCTGCACATAGAAATAGTTGGCTATTTACTCATGTGATCATAGTTAGCGTCTTTTAGAAAGTAACCATTTGTTTGGGTACGGATCGGGAACAATTAGCTTATCGCGTAACATTTATGATAGGAAAACAATAGAAATTGGTGATTTTCTGCCGCTCATGCCTTGTGTAGCCGTGTCGCGACCGCACGCGAGACAGCGGCAGATCCCGCCCCTGCTCCAATTCAAGGGTGAGAATTTTTAAATGCCCAAGCATACCTGCATCTGAAGGAACCATGAAGTCCTCCTAACTCGTTCAACCGTGCATCGAGGCATCTTCCTGGAATCGAGAAGAAAATACTAAGTAGGAGAAACCTTAACAAGTAGACTTATTTGGTGTGGAAGTATTCCATGAAATTGCAGAGATCTAAGCAGGAGTTCGGTGTAAGTTTATCACAATTTGTCTAAAAGTCTAGTGATCCTTCCAACGATCAAATTGTAAGTCGAAGCTCAGATCTACGCTGTGAGTTGAACTTTATTCTCTACAGGGTACTTATCGCAATGGCCGAGGCAGACCAAATCGCCCTCTCAAAGTGGTCGTTGGTGGGCCACAATGAAATATTGCACCAGCGCGACGTCTTCACCTTGCATAGATCATGATTATCTTCCAGTCTTTGGGGGGGGGGGGGCTGTGCTCCCCTTACACGCCAATTCCCTGGTTGATTGATGGTGCCCACAGGTATCTGTTGATCCTCGCGAATTTTCCCATTTTCGCTTCCCTTCTGCTAGAAGGGGAAAGGGAGGTCCCTCACATGTCATTCTGTCGCGCAACCGAATTACTACTCCTATCAGGCAAACCCCACAATCCAACAGATCGTGAAGACATGCATTTTTTCACACAAAGTGGCAAGTTCATAGGTCGACTAACCTTCACAAGCAATTGCATATGCAGACTAAACATGTAATCGAACGACTAAATGACCTGAGAGGAAGTCGAATACGTGGCCCGATCCGAGAAGAGTGCTAGAAGCCAAAACCCCAGCGAAATCGTGTCGAAGAATCTATCCTGTGTGTGGGATAGAGTAGTCCTCGAGTTTGACAGAGGTTCCGTTGTCGCGGCTTGGACGAGATGCCCTGCCCACATACCTGGGTTCGAAGCGTGGATTTCGTCGGTTAATTCAAAACGCGTGGGCTAGCGGAGCCATGGAGCAAGCAACTTCGCACAACTCGTCCGGTCCCACCTCTTCCACATTCCATCGAGAGAAGAGAGAATAATTGCTGACAACTTCATCGAAGTTTTTTTTGCTTAATTTATTTTTTTTTATCAACTCATCATTCGCAACTTCATTATCAAACGACCCCATCAATTTAATCTGTGGTGTTGCTTCGAGGCTGACCACTTTCCTAGGCTTTTTGATAAGAAACTAATTCCTCCTGCGACAGATCAGCTGCCTCGACAATTGTTCGACTCCTTCCGGGGGAAACCGCGGATGCGCCAGCATTGCATTCCTTGAGTACTAAGCTTGGTTGAAAATCACGATCGGATACACCCCTGAAAAATTGCACGGCTTTGAGAACCTCTTGGTGACAGCCATAGGATCCTGTGGAACAACCGTCAACTTCGACTATTCGGTAATTCTTGGTAGCTATAGGTCCAAGAAGTCTTTCCATCGTGGACGCAGTCTCCATGCCACGGCCCGGAAGACGTTCATTTTGGTATAAAAAAGCCGTGAAATCAGAGATCAGTGAGTCCTACACTAATTCAACTGGGGAAAATAGAGAGAGGCAAAGAAAGAACAAAACTCGCTCTTAAGCCATGTTACCGGTTTGCGCTATGCATAGGCACTGTCCCTCAAACTGCCAACGGAGATTCGAATGTATGCCAGGGACATACACAAATTAATCAGGTTGGTGTGCTTTCTTTTGAGTCCGTTCCAAAAACCAATGGATAGACAAAGAGAACGCAATACAGCACACCACTCAATAACACACAAAAAACAACAAACCGCTCGCGGTGGTACTGGCCGCCCTTAACATCATCTCTATCCTGCTTTTTGGTTATTTACCGTAATGAATGACGACCTAAAAAACTTGGTTGCCGCCCGCTCCATACATAGCAAGCCCAACTCTCCGGGCATAGGTCACCTCATAAGCCCGAGTGCCAATTTCTGATACACGAACGCCGCAACACCCCTCCGTCAAAGCTCCTGCACGATGCCGATAGGTACCTTGAGAACAAACTGTCCAAACGGGCACACTCGCAACGCCGCCCCACCAAAATCACCAAATTGGGCACCTCGAGAAAATTGTAATGGCTGAGATGGAAAATACAAAAATTGTGTTAAGCTCTTTCAACTTCGCAATTTTTCTTGCGACTTCTCAAGATTCCCCTTTATTCAAAAATAAAACCCCGTTAAGCCTCAAATCACAGAATATGAGCTCCTCGTTTGACTCAGTCAAGCGGACCGTATTCTGTCCCCGGCTACTGCCAAGATTTTGGTAGTTCAATCGATTATCGATTGGTAACTCAATAATAGGATAGCGGTATAAAATACACGTAAGAATGATTCAAAAAAAACTGACTAATCGCAGTCCAAATGACGAGACATAACCGGTTGGGGCTGAATATCCAAATGTGTCTGGAAATGGAAACTCTTCCTTGTCGTGGATTGTTAGGCGAACTCCTGTGGCCTCGGTGGTTGGCATGTAGTCGGACGCATTCACGTACACCAACATACGCAATCCATACATGGGACCTTTAAAATAGTCATTGGTGATGTAGCGCAATGGCGCGAGACGCGTAATGTGTAGCCTAGCAGCAGTTCGATTCCGCCTTTGAACTGGAGTGCGGGCGCTGTTGACGACACTCACGCACCTTTCATGTTGACTCCTTGACAAAATCAATCGTTCTGATGATTCCCATCAGACACCTTGGGTATGGCCTAGGGCTTTTCGAGGACTAGCGATAACCCACCAATTGACTTGCACAACTCAGTGCGCTGCCCATTTCTTCTACAGTTTAAATACCGCGAATAGTGAGCAAAATAGTATGGCAAAGCTCGAAGGGTCGTAGGCAGGAGTCGAACTACTGATAGCCTGCACACTTTCCACGCGACAGCAGCGCCTCCTGCCATTGTCTCAAAAAAAGAGCCCTACCTGCTCTGATACTCGTCAAGTTGACAGTGCGATTGTGATTGTAGGTGAAGCAGGAGCCGAACACGGGATCAATATGGGTGAGAAAGTCTCTAGAAGAGGAAGAAATGAAGAATTGATCTACATAGATTAAAGGCACATTCAACGATGAAACAACTGTGGGTTATTCAACCCGAAAATGAGGGTAGATGCGGTTGTGGGTCGAAAGAGAGTAAATCGAGCCGCTAAGAGCGCCTCACGTCACGCGCCGATCGCGTGGGCGGGGTTTGCGCTCCGCCTCCTGCTTTTCATTGGTTAGCCCTGTGTTTGTACAGTATCTTACCCTATCTGATAATGGGCTAAGCAATGGGAAGGCAAGATTGGGCGCCGACCTCGCCCAAATGATCGGTGTGCAAAGCAGCTTTAGGGGTTCCTACAAATTTCTTTGCTCTTTTCTCGCTACTACTCAACCAATACCACATCTTGTTTCGTTTTTCTTCAGCTGCGAAAGTGACACCTATAAAACCGCGGAATCCGCCTTTGATAATCACTCTTATAATCCAGTATCTCTTTTTTGAAATGTCAAATTATTTTTAAATATCACAATAATCTGTCAGGTCCAAGTCGTCAAAC